ATAGATAACCATGGATAACCATAGATAACCATGGATAACCATAACCATAGATAACCATGGATAACCATAGATAACCATGGATAACCATGGATAACCATGGATAACCATGGATAACCATAGATAACCGTGGATAACCATGGATAACCATCGATAACCATAGATAGCCATAAATAACTTTGCTTAAAAATACCAAGATGCCCAGGCTATAAACTGCACTACTGCATGTCTATTCAATAACCATGATAACTACAATAACTGGTTATTTATATTTTTTAAGCACATTAAAGCCCCCTATATATTGCCAGGTCTACGACTGCCCAAACCTTAAAATGATCAATGATAATGTTAACACACACTGTATTTTGGATTCAGGGAACAAGGTAAGCCCTGGCAGTGGCATTGTATGTGGATCTAATTTTGTGGTACAGGTTCAGAGAAAGTTGTGTGCATGGTGTGTGAAACTGACAGATGCTCAGCAAGTTTATGAAAAAAATTTCAACTATGAAAAAGCAAAAAATAATGTAAAATTATTTGAACTAAAAATAGTCTTATCTAGCTACATCTACAATAAAGTGGTACAAAAATTAAGTAAAAAAGAAAGCAAAACATGATCTAGCAATTAATGTTCTCGCAATCAGTAAACTTGCCAAATATCATTGTTTTCATCACAAATTAATGACTCTCTTTTCCTAAGTACAAATGAGCCATCTTCCTTGTACAGTTCTAATGATGATGCATCTTCAATCTCAACATGCCTGTTATCATCCAACAGCTTAATATGAAGCATTGGAATGTTTGGTGGGAATCGATTCTTTCTGAGCTTACTCTTTTGTTGCAAGTAATTCTTCAATTTTTTAAACAATTTTGTTTGCCCCAAATGACATAAAATAATCAAAATGAAAGCTACAAAAGCAAGAGACAAGGAGAGTGAACTAAGTACATATGCGGAAGAACCACTTAATAAAAATGAAGTAGCCAAAAGTGAAAGATCAAAGAGGAAAAAGCATTCTAAAAAATTATTGATTTTCCTTCGATACACTCCATTAATTATTCCTATTAAACTTAGAAAAAATCCTGACACAATGATCAGAGCCATAATAGATATACTTGGATCTTTAGTGGCAAATATAGTAACTAATAAACATCTTGTTAACAAAAGAAATCCAGTCCATGATCTATAATTATCAATATACGGACCATTGTAAGCATCAAAGAGAGGCTTAAGTTTCACCCAACATTGACAGCATTTATATTTTGAAATGTAGCGCTCAACAAAAGGACTACACAAAATGAGCAATGTGTAAGGTAGAACAAGAAGAATTACTGTTGCTAATGCTGGAATAAGAAGAAACAAATGTTTCTGACTCCAGTACACAATTTTAGCATCCATAGCCCATGCATGGTTTTCATTAATATTTTGACTTCCAGGTTCACATGTATAAGTGATTGGAAGTATTGCATGGTTGCATAAACGAAGTATTTTTGTGAAGGAGAGAAGCAGAACTGTTGCCAGAACTGAAATTGCATGCCGCCCTATAAGTCTGGATACTTTGAATGAATAATGAGAAAGAATAATGACAAGAATGATAAGTAGCCATAAGTAAGCTGGGAATAAAAACTGAAGTAGCATTTTACTGAAAGTTGTCATGCCATTGTAAAAGCACATTTTGATTCCCCAGTCTAGGTTAAGCCACGAAATGAACACTTTAAAAAAAGTTGGTTGAGAAGAAATCAGAAACTCATTCATTTTCACCATATTAGCATAAAATATCAATCCATTGATGGAACCTACTGACACAGTAAGATTCAAAGCTGTTATGAAGACAATCAAAACTATACCAGCTACAGCAAAGGGAATTAGCAGAGCTAAGTAGTTATCAGAGCACTCACCACAACTATCTGATCCCAACATCATGCTGAGCCCTTCATCACAGTCACCACAAAGGAGACCGGATCTATTTAATTCACATTGTTTCTCTGTGGTTGAAAGAGTAAAGTTGACAGGACTTGTTTTACAATGCTGTGATTCACAGGGTATCTTAACAAAGCAATGACTCTCCTCTACATAACCTATCCACATGTCTCCTTGGTGATGAAATGATTCACTGTAAGGGTCGCATGTTAAATTCTCATTAGTTTTTAGATAACTGATGCAGTCACAACTACCTGTAACTGGTGACAACTCAAAACCAAGAGGGCATTCATCAATGTGGAAAAAAACAGATTTGGTGTGAGGATCTTGTTCTTGCAATGACAATGTCACTACTTGAAGAGATGATGCCATTGATACATTAACATGAGGATAGTATTTAATGGAAGTGCAGTTTGTTTTGGTTGACTCATACCTCTTCCTAAAAGTAACTGGACTTCTTTGTATCTGTTCACTGATGGTGATCACACCTGGAGACACACCCTCTCTATGTCCAACAGTCACAAGCTCGATATTTTGAAACTGTCCTGGTAGCAGAGAAAAATTTAAGGACTTTAAAGCACAATCAATTATTCCATTCTCATGACAAAAGCAAATTTTTTCTGGGTCTGAAGAAATTACTGAGAGTCCAGTCTGATTATTAAAGTTAAAAATAGATTCAAACCAAATGGTACCATTAGCAATGTCAAACTCTGTATCATTATTTTGTATTATCATTATGAAATGACAAGTATCAATAAATCCACCATATACAGCTGAGCCAGCTATCATAGCATCATTATTCTTAAAGATTACACTTGTGTTTTTGAAATTAAAACCATCCGGCTGCATAAAGCATGTATTAAGTGATAAAGAAGGATTAATGTTGACATAAATAGCTCCTCCTTTTCCTGAAGCAGTGTTGTTTTCAAGTACTAATTGCACAGGTGGTGCAAGCCGAACAACTGATTTATCATTTATAAATAAACCAGCACCATCTTCTGCCTTGTTGTTTAAAAACAAGTTGTAGCCAATGAAAGTCACAATGGAGTTTGATATCATCATTCCAGACAAAAAATTATCTTCTACAGTAACATTAGTAAACCCAATGTTCATTATTTCGTCAATTAAAATTGCACTTTTTAATTGACTACTTGAGATGCTGCTGTGCAGGTAAGATGTTTGACTCTTCATAATTGATGCATTTCTAATTTTTATGCTGGCACCTATATAAAAGATATTCAGACTTGCACCACTAAACCCACTGTTGTTAACCATTTGACAAAATTCAATGATTATTGTTTGATTGACTATACATGGGTAAAGGCCTAGACCACAAAAAGTCAATCCAGCTCCGTTAGGGCCACTATTGTGCATAAATTGACTGTGTTGAATAACTATCACAGGAATTTCTGGTAAAACATTTGTAAGACTTTTAAAGCATTTTGAAGTGTATGCAGGCAAGCATAAGTACACAGAAAATACACTTCCAGCAATAAAATCAAACAAGTTATTACGCTCTAGCAAATGTATTGCATTTCCATACATGCTGGTACAGTTTGAAATAAATAAACTCTGATATGCCACATACTCAGAAACTAAGTAATAGAAATTACCTGAAACTATACCAGTGTTACCAAAAAGAACTAAATTATTCATTACAACATCGACACCATAATGATCACCTTGTATCAGTACAAATGTGAGTCCACTAGCAGAGGATAATTTGTATAGAGAATTATCAAAGCCAAAAGAAAAGTTAGAATAAGTTATATTTGTGTAATAAATATAGAAGAAGTTTTGACACTGTTCCATTGATGTATAGATAAACAATGCATTACCTCCACTACAGCTGTTTATTTTAGTACAATTTGTGTAATTAGCCAAATTATTGTAAGCAAAAGAGGAATTAGTAATGCTAACATTAAGTGCATTAATACACATCAATCCCAGGTCAACTGACTTTTGTATAGAAATTTCATGCAAAGTGATGAGCTGTGTATTTATAATTCCTAATGCTACAAAACCATCAGTTAATGAATATTGGGTGCTTGAAACTTTCATAGGTAATATATTCTTAGTTATATCATCAGGAATAAGGCCACCACAGTTAACAAGTGTAATACCAATTATGCTAACCTTTGAGCAATTGTAAAACACGAATCCACTGTTTGAATGACTGCAATCAATGAACACGGTTGGTTGCCTGATAGTTTCATGAGACCCCTCTTCTAAACTATAATTCATACCTCGTAGAGCAATATTAGAAATTCCTTTAATTAAGACCAAATGAGATTTGTCAAGCCAATGAGTGCCTTCCATGAAGAAAAAGGTAGTGTTGTCCTCAAAAAATTCTTGATAGTTGTTGCAATAGTGCTGCAAACTGTAGCAAGGCCGGTCAAGACAGGATACAGTAGCATTATCACTTGATATGTAGTACTCTCGACGCTCTCCAAAAGCAATGGGAACAAAGACTGCAAAGAAAAGCAATAGCTTCATACTCTAGCTGTAGCAAATGTTGAAGTTGCTAATCTGCTAGATAAACTAAATCATAAACAATCTGTCTTATTTATATGATTGTATGAATGTTATGCAATATTTCATAATTCAGGATTATGGGAAATCTAACATGACCATGTAAGTATATCTTGATATGGAGGCCTTGGTAAATAAATTTACTTGGTCATTTATCTGCAGGCTTTGAATTTTAAAAATAATTATATTTGCATGAGTATATGAAGCTACTTGCACTAAATCTTTGCAAGTGCTACACAGCCTCTCTAAAGCTAGTGAAGTTATAAATTAATATTATGCAACATTTTATAATTCAGGATATTAACCAAGTTTATCTTGCTACAGAAGCCTTGTTAAGTAAGTTTACATGGTCATGAGTGGGATTATGTGTGGGATTATGTTGACATTTTTTCTTTTTCATTTTCAATGAATTTTGGCCAAAATCTTTTTACAGTACAGCCCAATTTTTGAGCAACTTAAAAAAATTGTAAAAAATTTAACATGAATGGAATTTTCTACGCAACATAAGTACTTGTATATATATGTAACTGAATAAATGATAAAAATTAAGAATTCTCTTCTGATAAAATTTGGCCTAAATTTCTGTACTCAGGGACTTCGGTCCAATTTTTGAGCAACTTTAAAAATTATTAAAGAATGCAAACTTGATTGGAATCTGTTCAAACTTTCTAAGGTATAACTAATTGAAAAAAATTTTCAAATGGGGAATTCTCTCCTTTTTCAATTTATGATATATCATCAATTAAAATTGCAAAATAAACTTTAATAAACCTCACCTTTAGAGACTGTATGTGAACTCCAGTAAGGTCAGCGTCTCAAGTTTATATCAACAAATAACAATATTATTTAAAATTAAATGCATATGAGCAAATGTTAATACTAAGGGTTTGAAACTGATAAAATGAGCATATTAATTAGTAGGTCTATCAGAACGTTTGGGAAAGTCTCTAGGAGAAACAATAATATTGAGAAGAGTGCGATTTCAGCTCTGAGAACTGATCTTAGCTAGAGCGATGACACCCAGCTATCCTCGGACCGTCGAACTCCTAGGTCAAGAATGGGTAAAGATCGAGATCAGGAACAGCCCTCTGACTCGTCCACTATCACCGTCGTCCTTCCAGATAGGGGAACTGGATCGTAGAATTGACTGTTGACAACAAATTCAGGTTGGGGAGTCGATACTCCAAATATCTTTGTGAATGAAATAGGTCAAAGACCTTCCTCTCTCTCAACAGTATTAACAACAGACGACAAAAATAATAGAATGGTCGTATTTATAGTTTGACAATCCATGAATAATAATTATTAATAATCACTAATAATCAATAATCATCAGGAATCTTGAAGATTCCACAAATATTTTTTAATTTGTTCATTATGATGCTTATTGCAGGACGAGCTCTTGGATCAACAGCAATTCCATCTTCAATGATAGACTTCATTGCAGGCCAGGCAGTACTAGCAGTCTGAACTTGCCTATCTCTCTCAGAGAGTGTTGTTGCTGGTAGTCTGGCGATAGTCATTTCCAGAAGAAGAACAGAATAGCTGTAGACATCCATTGCGGGACTTTGCTGATCAGGATCACGAGCCTCAGGTGAAGCATATGCAGCATTGCCCACAGTACCTTCAAGATCAATAGTTGT